CAATAATGGGCTGTCCCCTCCCTGCCCCGAGCCTGGCAGCGATGCTGCAGCCGGGCTGGGGGTGCCCTGCCCCTGGCACGCTCATCATTGAGCTGATTGCATGCCAGGCAGGATGGCAGCAGGGAGGCAGAGCTGCTCGGGATAAATGTGCTCACTCACTCACTCTCATCAGCCTCTCCTCCTTCCCCAGCCCAGCATGGCAGCTTGGGGAGGCACAGTGCTTTCCTCTCCCTTAAAAGGGTTTTTTGCTTTGCTTCTTAAGTCTCTTTAAAGGCATTTCTAGGCCTGTTAATTATTCATGATGCCGTGATTATGTTTAGTCCACTGTGATCACTCTTTCTTTGGTGAGGAAAGTTGTTATTTGTGAGTCAAAAGCTCTTTATGAAGCAGACAGGCTGGTATCGTCAGAAAGGCTTGGGGGAGCAGTTGGAATTATTAAAAGAAGCTTTGATTAAAGACAGGGAGTTAATTTAACAAGAGTAACTGGTTTTCTCTTTTTTGTTTTTTGGTGCAGAACAAAGCCCAGCCACGGATGTGTCAGGGCTCACCTGGAGCAGCAGGACTCACTCAGCTGCCCCAGGAGATGGGCAGAGCATCCCTTTTATCTCTTTTGGGTGCTGTGAGTGGCTTTTCTCCACAGGCTCAGGAATGAAATTTGGCTGTGAGGGTGAAGCTCAGAGCAGCTGCCTTTGATCCTGCCAGGCTCAGGCCAGACTGGCTGAGAACAGCCTGGTGTGTCCTGTTTGATCTGAAAATATCATTTATTCTGCTCACTTTGGGAGGGGAGGGGGCTTGGAGCTCCTCATTTTCCCTCTGTCACGGTGGCACTGAGGTGAATCATCCAACAGGGGAATTCAGCCTCATCTGAACTCAGCAGTTCTGCAGATTCTGGTTTCTGCATAAACGAGGGCTTTGGGGCAGGGATTATTCTGTGTTGGCTCAGACCTTTGGATCTGAAACGCCATTAAACTGAAATTTCAGCTTGTTAGTTCTTGGAGATGGACAGACAGCTTTCTTTCCCAGCAGTGGGAAGGAATTTCTTTGTATTATTTTTTCTTCTTTTATATAAAGAAAATAATCTTTATTTTAAAAGTGCTGATTAAGCCTGGCTGAGGGTCCACCTGCACAAACACCAAACCTGACTGTGCAGCTTGAGAAACATAAATTAAAATATTCCAAAATAAAATAATGAAATCTTCCAGCATGAATCCAGCTGGGCACCTCTGCCTTCCTCCCCTTCCTCCTCCCACCCTCCCCAGCCCACTCCTGCCTGGGGGAGCAGAGACATTTCAGACCATTTCCCATCTGGCTGTGCCCTTTGCAGCTTTCCTCTCTCATGTCTGACTCTCGTGGCTGCAGGCAAGACAAACAGCAGAGTTCTCAAGGATACACTGGGGTAAGGGAGGGAAAAGGAAAAACCAGTCAGAAAAAAGGCAAATCTCATGTGAGGGCAGCTCCTGCTCTGTGTCTTTGAGCTGTGCAGCAGAACCAGGGCTCCCTGAGCCCAGAGGAAAGCAGAACAAAACAGCCAGATCGACATCAGGGTGGCTTGTGCAAGTCTCTATTTAATGACAGTGCTGCATGAAGACATTGTTGGTGTCACATGTACCTGTGATGGGCATTTTATACATTCCTGACTCCCAGGGGAGCCGTGTTTGCACTGGAGATGTTCACCACAAGAGGTAGTGGCTTTATTTTTCCCGTTTTCCTTTTTTTTATTATTAATATTATTTCAGCAGGATTGGATAAGCTGGTTGGACCTACTGGAGTTCATTTACTCTTCAGCCAGGAAGATAAAGAGTTCTGTGGAGTGGGAGCAAGCAGGCAAGCAGCAAATACAGTGCAGGCAGAATTCACTGGCTTTTAATTCAAACCTGTTTGGGGGTGCAGAGATCCCCAGCCAGGGCTTCAGCAAGCTGGGAACCACAGGGAGGGAAAGCAGGACCAGGAAGACTCAATAAGCAGAACAAAAGCTTCAATTATAAATCATGAATCCCAAAAGAGGGGCTAGAGCAAGGCTCTGAAGGTCTGGAGGAACAAAGAAATGAAATCTTCTGGTTAAGGTGGTTTTACAAACCGGCTCAGTGCCCTCTCCATCAGCAGCAGAGGTCCTTGGGGAAGCAGGGGTTGATTTTTCCAGGGTGGAAGGAACAGTGAGGTCTGGGTTTGGCAGGCTCAGAGCTGGGGAGAGGCTCCCAAATCCCTTGTGCTGGGCTCTGAGGAGCTCCCAGTGCTCTCCTGGTGCCAGCACACCCTGCCCTGCTCCTGGCACTGCCTCACTCCTTGGGCACCAGAGCTGAGGATGACTTTGGTGCTGTCTCCAAGCGGGGAAGGCTCAGTCCTGGGTGTCAAAGTGCTTTGTTTGCTGTCTGGAAGTGCAGGAGTTTTCTGGGGAGGGAAAAGCTGCTGCAGAGCTGGGCAGGCCTGGCACTGCCACCCTCCCAAGGGCACTGGGGACCTTCACACTCCCTCAGTTCAGCCTGGAGCGGTGGGAAGGAGCAGCTTCGAGTGTCCTGGGGATGGAGGCTGCAGGTGATTCCTCACAGCCAATACTGCAGCTCCGGGAATCACACCTGGGGTCTGCTCCACATGAAGGACACTGCCTTCTCCTGCAGCCTTCTTCCCCCCATGGCATTTTGGACGAGTTTTTCAGGTGGGCTGAGCTCTAAGGTTCTGCTTCTAGATTCAGAAAAAAAAAATTGGGAGCGAGGTTCACAGCACTGGAGATGAGGATTTTTAAACTGGACACAAAGTAAAGTTATGGCACAAAGTGAAGATATTATCCACATTATCCTGAGGGGTATTAATATTCCATTTATCCTGTTATTATTCCATTTATTCTGAGAGCTCACACCAGCCTTCAGTACAGGGCAAACATCACCTATGGCAACTTCCAAATGCTTTAAAGCTTTTTTTGGTCTATATATGTCATATTTGCTATTTTTGTTCAGCTCCTCAGCTGTTAATTCCCTAAGTCAAACAGACCTTTCTGCTTGTAAATACATTTAAAAATAGACTTGTTGCTATTTTTCTGCCCCAAAACCTCCTGCCTTTGCATCATGCTGTGGATATTGGGGTACAAGTCTGAACGAATTCCCATCACTGAGTGAATTTGTTTGGTTAAAAATTTGTTTGGTTAAAAATTCGTTTGGTTTATACTTCTTTTTGGAAGAAAGAACAGCTCATGTGTGCCTGAGATCCCTTGAGCTGGAGTTCCCAGTTTTGCAGTTTTTAGCTCTGAAGAGCCAGGTTCAAATGTTACACAAGGCTGTGGGCTGAAAATCAAAGTCCTGGATTGCAGCCCATTCCAGGAATGGCAGGTTTGGAACAGAAACCTGGGGATTAAGGTGGGAGTGCTGCTCCCATTTCAGAAAACAGCTGGGATTATGTGCTAGAGCTGCTTGGTGTAATCTTCTCCTGAAGCAGGGCTGGAACTCATCCTGCCAGCACAGGAGAGTGCTCTGCTAGCAACACAGGAAATCCAGGGAATTACAGGAAACCTTGGAAGAGCTTCACCTCATCTGAAGCAGGAACTGACTGAATATTCCACAAACTGCATAGAGAAAAAAAAGGGATTCTATTGCTTTCCCAATTGTGATTTTACTCCTTTAGAAAGCAGCAGGAAACTGCACCCTGGGAGTCTGCCCCTGTTTATGGCTATTGCAACCCTCTGCTGCTCCACCTCCTGCAGGGATTTCTAGCCAGACCTATTTCCACGTTGTTTTATTCACCTTGCTGTGTTTTATTTACAGAGATATTGCAAAATCATGTGAACTGAGTACAAGCAGCACGTAGAGCGTGGCTTTGGCAGTGCCAGATTCAGCGTGGTGGAATGATGCTCTTGTGGGGTTTCCATTCCTAGAATCCATGGAAAAATAGATAGCAGAGAGTAAGGGATGCTGGAAACATCCAGACCTTCCCAGAGTCCAGCTTGGACACAGGAGCTGGTCCAGGCAGGGGCTTTCTTGGGTTTTTATTCTGGCTTTTTCCAAAATGCACAGTTTTATCTCCTTGACTGTTGATTTAAATTAGGCACAATGTTATTCTGCACTCTCTGGGGAGAGACAGAGGCAAATCAGACCCGAGGCGCTCCTTGGGCCCCTGATTCAGGTGAGAAGCAGCAGCCCTGGCCTGGCTGGGTGCTCAGGGTGCCCCCCTGGCACAGTGTCCTCGTGTCTGTACATTCACCACGCTGCCACCCTGCCCTGCAGTCACCTGGGCAGAGCCTGGAGATGAGATGCTGGTGGGCAGAAATCGCTGATGGGAGCTGAGGGGGTCCTGTTGGATGTACACCATGCAAGACAACGTTCCACTCCTTGAGTTTCTCTCTCTCCATCTCTTTGTTCTTTTTGGCTTGGGGCTCCACAATCCATCCTATTCATTCCTATTTACACCGATGGTTTGATGTGAGACTGATGCCCCCTTCTCCCTTCCACCCATGGCTCGTAGGCTCCCACTGCTGCAGGGTCTGGGGGTGGCAGAACCTTCTCGACCCATCTGGGGACCTCTGAAAGTTCTTGGGTTGGTTTTTGTGGGATTTCTGAAGGCTTCAGCAGTTAAACACCGGGTGGGTCAGCTCGAGGTGAAGGCAAAGCTATTGCACAGAGCTTGCAGAGGCCCTGGCTGGCTCCGGCTGCCAGGGGGAAGCATGGCCTTGTCTTTGGTGAGAGTTGTACCCAGCGCTACCTCCTGCTGCCCCGTGGCCACCCCGTGTCCACAGTGCCCTCCAGGCCGGGCGGTGGCCACGGGCGAGAACCGAGCGAGAGCTCCTCGGTTCCTGCACCTCCACTTCCAACACAGCGCGAGGCTGGCTCTGAAAAGCGCCCTGGGGGCCGGTCCAGAGGTCACCCAGAGAGGTGAGACACCCTCCCACCTCGTTCCAGCCCCACCAGGTGCCCGGGCACCGCGCGGTGCCCAGCTCCAGAGCTCCAGCCCCCTCCCCGGCACGGATGGCATCGCTCCCTCTTCCCCCTCCGTTCCTAAAAAAAAGCGGGCGCTGTTTGTGGCTTTAGCAGTGGAGGATCTTCATGAAAGCCTTGCGAAACTCGATGTTGAAGGTGGTGTAGATAATGGGGTTGACAGCGCTGTTGACGTAGCCGAGCCACGTGAAGGCGCTGTACATGGCCGGCGGGATGTTGCAGTCGCAGTGCATGTTCAGGATGTGAGTGATGAAGAAGGGGAGCCAGCAGATGATGAAAACACCTGGGGGGGAAAAGGAGAGAGGAGGAGTTTGATGGCTGAAAGCTGGGTGGGCTCTCGGGCTGGGAGAACAGCGAGGTTCTCTTTGGTGGAAGGGGAATTTATTTCCCAGAGGAATGGGATTTGTGTTTGTGTGCTCAGTGTCCTGCTCTGCGTTCTGCCCTGGCACTAACGAACTCCTCTGCTCAAGAAATGAGCCGAGACACAGCAGAAACTCTGCCCTTCAAGGTGCCAGCTCTGCAGAGCTCTGCTGCCTTTTATTTCAGAAAGCCCAGGAGTATTCCCTGGTTTTGGGATCTCAACTGGCCCTGAGTGGGGCAGCTTTGGGCACCCTTGGTGCAGCCCTGTGCCAGCTTAGTGCACTTTGCCTGTCACAGACATCTTTTATGAAAAATCCTTTCCTTAGGATTTTTCCTCCTGAGAAGCTGAGAGGCCTCAGGAACAAAATGCAAACAATGGTTATCTGCTGCTGTGGAATGCAACAGGTGCATCTGGGATTGGTCTCATGTGGTTGTTTGTAATTAATGCCCAATCACAGTCAGCAGGCTTGGACTCTCTGGTTAGTCACAAACCTTTGTTATCATTCCTTCCTTCTGTGTTCTCAGCCAGCCTTCTGATGAAATCCTTTCTTCTATTCTTTTAGTATAGTTTTAATATAATATATATCATAAAATAATAAATAATAATCAATCAATAAAATAACAAATAAATATAAAAATAAATAAAACAATAAAATAATAAATCAAGTCTTCTGAAACATGGAGTCAACATTCTCATCTCTTCCCTCATCCTCAGACCCCTGTGAACACCAGCACACTTTGCCTGCCATCCTCTCGTGTGTGAAGGGAAATGAGTTCTGGGGGGGTTGGAAAATCAGCCTGCACAGGACAGGGGTTCCTGCAGGGAGCCCAGGGCAGGCAGGGCACGCTCTCACCGAGCACGATGGCCAGCATCTGCGTGGCTTTCTTCTCCTTCTGCTGGGACATTTTCCTCCTGATGACGGCCTTGAGCAAGTTCCTCGTCTTGCCGTTGGGCAGGGAGTGGATCTCGAAGACCTTGGCTGTGTGGTGGGATTCTTTGGCATGGCCATTCTTCTCCACCTTCCCAGGGCTGCTCAGGGGTGCCTGCAGGGTAGAGTTGTTGCCCCGATTAGAAGCAACTGGCACAATCAACTGGTGGTTACTTGGTGCTGTGGGTTTGAGGGCCGTTTTCTCAGGGGGACTGGTACTGGACACCATCTCCATTTCCATCTCTTCTATGTGACTCTCTGCCTCCTGGACAAGAATCAAATGTCCACAACATAATGACAGGTAAATACACAGAGAGGAGCAACGAGCATTCCTTACAGAGTGAAGCTGGATGATGCTGGAGAACAGTCAGTCCCTCTTCTCCCTCCCTGCCTGGAGAAAGGGCTGTGCTGTGTTGGGGTGTTCTGGGCAGATGGGACGGACAGAGCTGCACTGGAGGATTCTCCTTTTTGGCACAAAGAGGCTCAGAAATGGGGGAGATGCTGTCTCCACTCTCTACAGATTTTGTTCAGGTTTTCAGAGTGAAAATAAATAAAAATGGAATCAGCAACCAAAGCCTAACAAAGCCAATGCAGTACAAGATTTAAATAACAGAGAGAAGAAGGAAATCAAAAGCATAAAAATGTTCAAATGCCGTGGCTTTTAGAGCTGATCTTTCGGTGAGCTTAATCTGGCTTTGTGAGCTCTGTGAGCTTAAACCCCCTGCTTCACTCCAAGGAATGGGAAGACTATTTAAATTTTGAGATTGAATGGTAACCTTTGCTCTTAGGTTTATTTTTCTCCCACCCTACATAAATGAACCTCGTGTCCTGAGGGAGAAGGGGAAGGCTGAAGGCTCTGGAAATCTCCCACTTCTCTTTAACACTCACCACTTTGCGCTTATTAACTTGGAAGCTCCCATTGGACTTCACAATAACTGTGCAGAGCTTGACGTCTTCTGGATGAGTGCATTTGTCCTAAGGGGCAAGCACCAGCTCAGAGGTTACATAGGCAGAGAGGGGTTGGGAAGGGAAGCTGGTAAGGGAGGCACGTGGGAACACAAAGGGATGAGTCAGGAGTTCAGCAGCGCGGCTCAGAGCCGAGCAGGATGGAGAGGTGGATGGAGAATGCTGTGGAGGAGCAGGGATGGAGGCTGCCACCAGAGCAAAGGGGCCACGGAGCTCTGCTGTGTCTGTGTGTCCCTGTCTGGCTGCCTCCTCTGCAGGCAGCAGGGTGTGGAGCTGGAGCATCCCCCGGGCTGTGCTGCCTGTGCTGCCAGAGCCCTGCTTTGACAAGTGGGTTCACAGCCAGCCCGCCCAGCTGGGCTCCCTCACACACAGCTCCTGCAGGGACAGGCTGGTGCTGCAGAGCTGTGCTTCCCAGAGAGGAGCTGTGCAACCCAGGCGCTGCCACCGAGCTCTGGGGACACCTGACAGCCCCTAAAGGGGGTTCAGAAGAGCTGAAGAGGGGCTTGGAGTGGTGGGACACGAGGAAATGGCCTTAAACTGAAGAAGGGAGATGGGTTTAGATTGGGTATCAGGGAGAAATTCCTCCCTGTGAGGGTGGGCAGGCCCTGGCAGAGGGTGCCCAGAGCAGCTGTGGCTGCCCCTGCATCCCTGGCAGTGCCCAAGGCCAGGTTGGATGGGGTTTGGAGCAACCTGGGATGGTGGAAGGTGTCCCTGCCCATGGGCTTTAGTGTCCCTCCTGACCCAAACCATTCCTGGAGCCTGTGATCCTGCAGGACTGACTCACACAGCGGTGCAGCCTCTGTTCTTGGCTACCCCAGCCCAGCCCACGGCAATGCTGGGGGTCACTGCAGCAGCTCCTGGTGCGGATCTGCTGCTGGAACAGCCCTGAGATCCAGGGAAGCCCGAGGAGCCGCAGCCAGCGAGCCGGGAGCCCAGGGAGTGCAGCTGGGACCCCAAAGTGACCCCAGCACCCAGCTGTGGGAGCTCTGCCCCAGGCAGGGCGGCGTGGGGCAGGGGGAGCAGGGCAGGGGGAGGCTGTGGAGGCTGGCTACCTTCAGGGGGGCCTGCGTGTCCGAGTCCAGCACGTGGCTGCTGCGCTTGGTGCTGACGCGCTTCCTGCGCCGCCGCAGCACGATGTAGATCTGCACGTACACCAGCAGCGTCACCATGAAGGGCACGTAGAAGGACACGATGGAGGAGTACACCACGAAGGCAGGGTTGCCAATGATGCACTCCTTCTCATCTGCAAGAGAAAGCCTCTCAGGGTTGGCGTCCCCGGCTGCCCTCGGGCTGGAGGGGGTCACATCACCCCGAAAGTCCTGGCTGCTCCTTGCCTTGCAGCTAAGTGTTGTATTGCACTAAATAGTTGTTTAGTTGTTTGCACTGGGTGTTTTAGTAATTTGCACTGTTCACATGATTTGTATCCTGTGACCTCATGGTCTTCCCCTTTTTCCCCCACTCAGCACTGCAGATCCCATGCTGGATCCAACCAATATTCCCAGGAAACTGCTGCCTGGACTGCCAGACCTTTCCTCTGCTGCCTCAGGGAAAGGTCCTTTTTGTGTGCTTTAATAGAAGGAGGATTTTGAATTTCTAGTGGACAAATGTTAAGGTAAACACAGATTGGTGTTGTGTGAACTTCTACATCACTTCAGTTCTGGTGAGACTGAACCCCTGCTCTGGAACAGCTGGAGATGAAACAGACCCAGAATCAGCATGCAAATAGTGAGGGGTGGCAGAGGGAGAGAACACTTCAGTACACCTCAGACCTGATCCCACCTTTATTCCTGCCTGACTGGGAGGGCAGCAGGAGGGAGCTGCAGAGGGAAAGAACACTTCCAATACCTCAGACCTGATCCCACCTTTATTCCTGCCCATCTGGGGGGACAGCAGGAGGCAGCTGCAGGTGCCAGAGCCCTCACCTGTGTTGTTGAGGCCGAAGAGGAGCGGGCAGGAGATGGCAAAGGAGAGCACCCAGACCACGGCGATCATGACGGTGACCCTGCGCTTGGAGCTGTAGCGGGTGTTGTAGAGCATGGGCATGGCCACGGCCGTGTACCTGCAGGGGACACATCCCCCAGGCTGCTGTCACCCTGCCGGGGCTGCCACTGCCCGCCAAGCACAGGTTGTGTGTGCCAGGGGGCTGCAGCCACGCCAGGAGGGTGAGGCTGGGTCAGCTCCTGGTGTTCTCCTCCCACCTTCCCACCAACGCCTGCTGCACCATCCCAGAGTACAAAGAGCAGGGAGCACAGAGCAATTCCATGTGCACCCCCGGGAGCAGAGTTTCTGTGCCTCCTGACAGAACTCCCTGCTCACAGCTCATTGGGATCCTCTAGGATGCTCTTCAAAAAACTCCCACAGTTTTCCAGCCTCTGAGTCCCACAGAGGTGGCTGGGACTGGCCACCCTGGGTTTGGCACAGCCTGGGTTTGGCACAGAGCCCTCACCTGTCAATGCTGATGGCACAGAGGTTGAGGATGCTGGCAGTGCACATCATGACATCCAGGGTGACAAAGATATCGCAGTGGATGCGGCTGAACCGCCACTCCCCAACCACCTGCGGAGAGAGGATGGGTGGTGAGCAATCCTTGGGCAAACCCTGGGGTTAGTGAGCAATTCCTGGGGCTGGAGAACAATCCCTGGGGCTGGAGAGCAATCCTTAGGGTTGGAGAGCAATCCCTGGGGTTAGTGAGCAATCCTTGGGGTTAGTGAGCAATCCCTGGGGCTGGAGAGCAATCCCTGGGGCTGGAGAGCAATTCCTGCAGCTGCTGTGGTTCCACCCTGCTGCTCTCTGTGGGTTTGGGCAGCCCCAGCACAAACCTGGGCTCACAAGGGAAGATAAAGGAGCTTAAACAGCTCCCTGAAGCATTTCAAGGCAGAATGAGGAGGGAAACACATTCATTTTCATTCCCAAGCACCTCTGATTTTACTCACAGCTTTTTCCCAGACAATTTTTCCAATTACACCCAGCAAAGGTCAGACAAGCAAGAGCTTCCCTTCATTTCTTAGTTTAAAAAATCGGGGTAGGCATTCCTCACGTTTATCTCTTTTATTTTTGGTGAAGAAAATGAGTTTAATTCAGAGTGAAAAGCCTTTAACACTCCACACGAAGTGCCAAAGACAAAGAACTAATGATAACACTTCCAGGCACCAGTAGCCTTTTTTCTCCTCACTTCTCTTGCTGTTGAAGCTGAACTTTGCCAATTAAGTTTAATAGCAATTATTCGGACTGCCGTGTTTGACATGTGATGAAAAAAAGTATATTTCCCTCTAACAAAAATAGAGCCCTACTGCATTTGAAAATAGAATGAATAAGATATCTATTCTTCAGTTATTTCTGCTCTGATATACATAACCATAGGCAGCATAAAGAAGGGAGAATGACTGCATTGAAGCCTGAGTGACAGATGAATACTCAGTGATTAAAAAAGCACTTAAGAGACAGTTACATCAGGAACTTTGAGGAGAATTTGCCCAAAGGCAAAGGTTTCCAGCCAGATCCAAACCTCTGGGAAACCGATTTCCTGAGGGCATGGTTTGGGGGAAGCTGGGAACTGCACAGTTCTTTCTCTTGGTGTTTTCATTTGTGTTGGAGAAACCTCCAAAATTTGGGGGTAAAAGATCTGTTTGCACCAAGGCTGGGGTTTTCTCAAGTGTTTCATTTTGATTTTGAGTTTTAGGCCAAGTTTGTCTCACAAAATCTGGAGGAAACTGTCCCAAATGGTAGATGAAGGCAGCTGCACGTGAGCCCAGAAAAGGGAGAGAATTTTGCATCATTTGTGGTTTATTCTTCTGCCTTAAAATTAAAATGGTCAGAGAGATTCTTCTGGCTGGACCTGAGGAAGCAGGAGCTTCTCCCAGCATCAGCCTCTGCTTCAGATTTTTGGAATAGAAAGGAGCAGAACAGAAGGAGATGCAGCCCCAGAGGCAGAGCCGGCCTCCACCAGCCCGTGGCCACTTAATGAGCTTCAGCAGAGGCTCTGAGTTATCCTCCAGTGCCACGAAAACAATCATTAACTCGGGGATAATTAGCACTGTGCTCTCCCACAGCCTGTGCCACATCACTGGCTTTGTTTTGCTTTGCATCAGGACTCACTGGGCTCACTGATGATGGTTCCTTCCCCTGCTCTCCTCCTTGTGTTATCATCCCTCCTATGGGAAACTCAGCATGGTTTGAGTTGTGAAAAGTGAATTTTTTCCCCCTATATTGTGATATAAAGCTGTGCTTTCCCATCCTGCTTCCACTTCCACAACTGTCTTCCTGCAGCCCTTCAGAAATAGGGCCTTGATTGCTATATATATATTTTTTTTTTTTTTTCTGATTGCTGGATTCAATGATCCTTGTGGGTCCCTTCCACCTCCACAAATTCCCTGTGGTTTCAGTGTGATATCCATGGTGGAGTTTTGAACACAAAATTGGGGTCTTTTCCCACTTGACCTCGAATTTCTGGTGCAATTGGGTTGTGATTTAGTGCCCTGAGCAGCAGTGGGGTTTCAAGCTACCTGCTCTCCCATCCTTCTCCTGGAAAAAAATGGCAATTTTGGGGATGAGAAAGCTACAATTTCAGGAATGGAGAAAAATGCAAATTTGGGAATGAAAAAGTTACAATTTTAGGAATGGGAAAAAATGCAATTTTGGGGATGAAAAAGATACAGTTTCAGGAAAAAAATGCAATTTCAGGTATGAGAAAGCTACAATTTCAGGAATGGAAAAAAAATGCAAATTTGGGAATGAAAAAGCTACAATTTCAGGTAGAGAAAAAAATGCAATTTTGGGAATGAAGAAGCTACAATTTCAGGAATGGAAAAAAATGCAATTTTGGGAACGAAAAGACCTGCACTTCAAGGAACAAAACCCGTGTATTTAGGGCATGAAAATCACTTGTGGGGAATTCAGGAGGCCGATTTCCAGGCTGCCACACCCTCCCCACCCTCCCTCAGGCCAGCTCTGAGCCCTTACCTCCATGTAGACCACCCAGGGCATGCAGAGCGTGGCCACCAGCAGGTCAGCCACGGCCAGGCTGACGATCAGGTAGTTGGTGGTGGTCTGCAGGGCCCTCTCCCTGGACACTGCCATGCACACCAGGACGTTGCCAAAGACGATGATGAAGATGAGGAGGGCCAGCAGCACGGCGTAGTAGTTGTAGTGCGGCCTGTGCGCCGCCTCCGAGGCGTTCAGGGCCCTGCTCCAGTTCCTGTCCCCGTCGTACCACGAGAGGTTGAGGGGATCCATGGGGGCCCCAGTGCCAGCCGCCAGCTCCACCCTGCCACACAGGTGTTGCACAGGCCCTTGGGTCAGCATGGGAAATGAAAATGGAAAAAATAAATCAGGTTTCTGCTGCCTCGCTCATGGTCTGCCCAAGGAGGTGGTGCAGTCACCATCCCTGATGTGTTTAATAAATCCTGGATGTGGCACTGGGTGCCAGGGTTTAGGTGAGGTGTTGGGGATGGGTTGGACTCGATGATCTTTGAGGTCTCTTCCAACCTGGACATTCTGTGATTCTGGGAATTCTGGGAATTTTGGAAATTTTGGGAATTCCCAGGGAATGGAAATGGTGGAGTCACCATCCCTGATGTGTTTAACAAAGCCTGGATGTGGCACTGGGTGCCAGGGTTTAGTTGGGATGTTGGTGATGGGTTGGACTCGATGATCTTTGAGGTCTTTTGCAACCTGGTGATTCTCAGAATTCTGGGAATTCTGGGAATTTTGGGAATTCCCAGGGACTGGGGAGGTGTTGGAGTCACCATCCCTGATGTGTTTAACAAAGCCTGGATGTGGCACTGGGTGCCAGGGTTTAGCTGAGGTGTTGGGGCTGGGTTGGATTTGATGATTTTGAGGTCTCTCCCAACCTTGTGATTCTGTGAATTCCCTGGAGCCTGTTCTCCCTGCCCTGGTGAAATGTTTGGCTGGAAATGGGATGGATGCAGAGCTGCTGACCCAGGCAGGGATTGCAGAATTTGGTTTTATTTCCCTGACCCAGGCAGGGATTGCAGCAGTTGGTTTTTATTTCCAGCTCAGCCCAGGTTTCTGTGGCAGTTCCTGTGTGTTCCAGCTGGCTCGGGGTGCCTGGGCTGTTCTGATGTTCTGTCCCTGCCATCCCCTGCTCCCTGTGAGGTGTGCACAGTTCACGGCACAAGTGCCTTGACCCACTTTGTTTATTTTCCATGTGCTTCGTGGGGCTTTGGGCTGTATTCCTTTCATTTTTTTCTTCTGTATTTTCCTTATATTTTTTTTTTTTCCTCCAGCAGTGAAATAAATAAATTTTAAACCCTGGATAGTGACAATGATGGAAGTTGACAGCAGCAGCTTTTGCAGGCAGGGCTGGGCTGTGCTGCCTCTGCCACGGCCCCAGAGAGGTGACAGTGAAGTGGGACACGGTGGGGACAGCACTGCTGCCACCCCACAGCCCTCAGCAGCTCCTGGCACTGGGAACAGCATTTCCTGGTGAGAGGAATGGGGGATTTGTGTTTCCAAACCAGCTGTGGGGCTGCTGGTGGATAAAACCAGCACTGGGAGAGAAAAGAAACAATGGGAAGGACTCCACTGATTGGTGAATGCAAAAAGATATTTTGCTTTTATAAATAAACTTTAGGCTTGCTGAGAAATTGGACATTGAGAGATGAAAGAAACAATGGGGAAGAAAAACCTCTAAATTCCAAAGGACCAAAAATTCCATGTTTAATGGAAGGATCAAAAATTCTGTGTTTGAGGGAAGGGTCAAAAAGTCCATGTTTGATAGAAGGATCAAATATTCCATGTTTGAGGGAAGGGTCAAACATTCCGTGTTTATTGGAAGAACCAAACATTCAATTTTTAATGGAAGGATTAAATATTCCATGTTTAATGGAAGAACCAAAAATTCTATGTTTAATGGAAGGATTAAATATTCCATGTATGATGGAAGGATCAAATATTCCATGTTTGATGAAAGGATCAAATATTCCATGTTTGAGGGAAGGAACAAGTATTCCATTTGATGGAAGGGTCAAATATTCCATGTTTGATCAAATATTCCATGTTTGATCAAATATTCCACGTTTCCCAAGCTGCATCTCCACCAAGACCACACTGGAGGTCTGGCCCTGCTCTCAGACACCCCAAACCTTGGCCACTTAATTTCCTTAATAAAAAGACAAAGTGACTTCGATTTATTAAACCACGTAAGTGATCAAAATAGCAAAACATTTGCAAATATCAAATTCACCTGGGAACAATGGTTTCTTTATGTTTCACTGAGCTTTTGTGTGCTTTTCTCATTCAGAGAACAATTTGGATAATAATCCTTGGAAATTTGTTGCATATGGGTCCTTAATAGCTGATAATTCAAAAAGTGTCTGTCTGACAGTGCTATCAGCAGCACTTGATAGCTCTACAAATGTCTTCTTAGGAGCTGTCAAAGTGTCAGAAATTAATTAAATGTTAGCTTCTGTGACTCAGAGTGAAGGGGAAAAATCAATGCTAAATACAGCAACAGTTTTTTCTCCTCTCCTGTTGCCCTTTCATAATGCAAAACTATCTCAAGGAGGCAGAACCATGCAGAAAATGCAGGGTGGGACAAAAAAATTGATTTTAAAAAAAGCAGGGGCATGGAGAAGTGTGTTTGAGGTGTGAAAGGGTTGGAGAGGGGCAGGAGCAGCCCCTTGGGCCTGGGCTGGTTTTGCTCTGAGTGCAGGAAGGAAATTGGCTTTGGAAAGGAAAGGCCACAGATGGAGATGGGCTCAGCAATCCCAGCCCTTCCCAGGCTGCTCCAGCTCCCTGCTGGATTGGAGGAGGCATTTATAGCTCATCTCGTGTCCATTCATCAGGAGTTTCCTCAATGGTGCTCAGGGAGGGTGTAAAAATCCCTGGGTGAAGCAATCAACATTTCCTTTCATTTCCTTCTCTGTCTTCCTCAAGAGGTTTTTTTTTTCTTTAAATAGAACTATTTTCACAGGAATAATTTTTGCCTTTATATGCATCATGGGGAAAGTTAATGTTTGAATATTGTACAAAGGAAAAGATTTGGTGTTTCTATTAAAATAAAAAAAAAGAGTTTTAATTTGGGAAAATGAAAGAGAAGTTCCAAATATTTTGCATGAAATAGGGAAACTTAAACACCAAAACCTAGAAATTAAAACTGTTTAAATTAAAATTGTGTGATCACACAATTAAAGGCTGTATTTAGCACACATCCTCGTGGTACAAACTACAGTTACATGGACAACTCTGTTAATTCCCAGCTTTGGAAAGTTTGAGTTTTTAGAACTAAAAAGAACTTTCAGTTGAGTTTTAGTCCTAAAAAGAACCTTCTTTTCCCCAGCCCAGAGCTGGCAGCATTCTTGGTGGCCATTAGGGAGGTTTGTGAGTCTCAGTCCTGCTTTGAGGAGCAATTTTGATTTCAGTGCTGACAGTTCCTCAGAAAGAGGAAAGAAAGGAGAAATAAAGAAAGAAGCACTTAAAGAGCTGGGGGGGAGAGGGAGGCTTTTCCCTGCTCTGCCCAAAAGCTGCATTTTCCTGGGGAAAAGGCACAAACAGCACCTGGCTCTGGCCTGGTTGAAGTTCCTGTACAGAGGTAAAACAGAGCCTTGGTTTGGGGGAGAAAGAGCCCAAAAAGGAACAAATTCCCCCGGGAATTAAGGGCAGCAAAGCCACTGTAATTCCCACCCCAGAGATTTCCAGGGTGGCTGAGCTGATCCAGCCATGGATTAGCTGCAGGGTCAAGGGCAGGACAGGGAATGCAAGGTTGCAGCCTCGTGTTTGTTCGATGGCAGCAGTGCAGCAGCACCCTGCTGCTCATCATCCTCATCATCCTCATCATCCTCATCATCCTCACCATCCTCCCTGCTCCAGAAAAACCTCCCTGCAAGCAGTTCCCCAGCAGCTGGAGGGTGGGACATCTCACTAATACCCTACCAAAAAAAAGCCTTTTAAAAGGCTTTTTTATATATAATTATAATAATTATTTTATTATATTATTTATAATTATTATTTATAATTAATTTTTATTTATATATATATTTTTTTAATACAGTTTTAAAGTACAGTCATACCGTTATTTTTAAAATACAGTTTAAGCCTTGCTACTCTGACTGACCTAGCAGCTATCTGGTAAGTTACTGTGCAAAAGAATAATGAAAATAAAAATCAGTTAACATGACAGTCTATTCTAGTAATGAAACAATTCACACCTCTAAAAACAAAATTCTGTCACATAAGAATCTGCAAAACAAAAATGCAAACACCTAAGTAAAGAAAAGCTCTTGGCAGGTACACAAACAGATATTTTCTAACCAATAAATTAAGGAGCAAAAAAATTATTCATCAATTTGATTTAACACAGTGCCTTCTGATACCCCTATAAAAATATAAGATATATGATAATGATTCAGCTTTTCTGCTTAAGAAATCCAGAGTCCTGTGTGTTTGTGTTGGAGCAGGGGGGGAATCTGCAGAATTCCCAGGGACAAGGAGAGGGGCTGCAGTGCAGAGCCAGGGCTCTGCCCTCCTCTGCTGGCAGCTCCCCCTGCTTTTCCAGAGATCAAACTGGAAAATGTCCATTTGCTGTGCCAATATCTCCCCATGGCTCCTCGTGATGGATCCTCTAATCAGGATTGTGGCAAAGAGCACGAGAGAGTGAATGCGGGATGTTCACGGCCCAGCAAACTCCTTCGTGTCTCTGGCACCTTTTTCCTCTCAGAAACTGCAACTCTCCTTTTTGGTTTTCACCCTGCTTGCAAACTCTTCCAGGAACAAAACCCTGCCAGGGCTGATCCTGGTCAAGGTTTGGGGCCTTGGACTAAAACCTCAGCCAGCCTTGGTTCCTGCATGGAGCCCCCAAGGTTTTGCCTCAGACATGACCCATTTAAGATGAAATCAGGAGTTCAGAGTGAGATTTCAGGGCCCAAGCTTTTCTCTGGGCTCCAGACCCAATTTTGGACACAATTGTGCACCCATGGGGGAAAGAGCAGCCAAAGCCACCAGAGACAGCATCCCTGAGGGTCATGTCCCACTCAGATCAGCTCCCACCTGCTGTCCCCAAGGCCTTTGGCCTGCAGGTGTTGCCAGATTGAAATTTCCTGCTCATTGCTGCTGCCCAGAGGTGCCCATCCCTCCCAGGCAGAGCCTCTCCACAGGCCTGGCACAGAAATCAATGCCTGACTGGGATTTGCACAGAACGCTGCCTCCCTGGGTGTTGTCACTTTGCTCTGGAATTCTGGAATCAATGGGCCATGGGAAGCTGTCAAACTGACATTCCTTTCTGTCCTCAAGGTGTTCGCTGAGAATGCAACAAAAATATTCCACTCAAAGG